TGAAATGAGTAGAGCAATCTTGGGAGGTTCTCTTTTATCCAACAGGGAAACCACTCTCATTTCTGTATGATGAATATGATGCTGGACCGAGGTTAACCGAGGTTAACTTAGCTTAGCATACAGACTGGTGAAAAGGGAGAACTGCAGTGTAACACACTTCTAGGTAGGTTCGAGGTACAGAGGTTTATGCTCAGACAACAATTTCCTAGAGTCTCTGCTAGTTGTCTGTTTGGTTTTTGTACAGATAAAATAAGTGAGCTTTAGAGGTGCTGGTAGGTGAATTTTGTTACCTTCTGATAGAGCCAGGCTAGCCTTTTCCCTGTTTCCAGTCTTTATGCTAAGCTAAGCTAAGCGGCTGCTAGCTGGAGCCTCGTATATTACAGATAAGAGAGTGGTATCAGTCTTCTCATCTAATGCTCTGCCAGAGAGCACATAAATTTATTTCCCAGAATATCGCACTATTATAAAAATATGAAGCAGGAGCCTGGAGACAGTAGTTTTATCTTTTTGTTTAATGATAGGAACTGGGGGAGAAAACTGTGACAACATTGCTCCAGGAGGTTGCTGTGCCCAGCCAAGGAAATAGTTTCACACATAACTCCACATAAAACCACAACTTGTGGCTTTTTAAAAAAAAAGAATAATATCCGTAATTATGTTATTAGTGTTTAATCACCTCATACTAAGAATTGTTGTGTTTCCATTAGTCTAGAATGAGAGATGCACGAAAGGGTTCCCTGTTGGTATTTGAAAACCTGGGAATGAGAACTCATCATTGAACTCTCTGCAAGCAAATAAGCGTATTTCATCTACAAGTTGAATTCCCTTAAATTTCCAAGACCTTTATATCTCTACCAATATAATCAGAAAAGACAATGTCTATGTTCACTTTACATGTCATGAGAAACAACTATAAAATGTTACAGATCAAACAAAGTATAAAGTTGTTTGTCCATCAAGTTTGTTCAGTGTTTTTTCATATTTACAACAGAGTCATGGCAGCCATCTGCTAAAGTCGGGAGCCTGTTACAGACCCAACACCCAGCGCTGGGAACAGAAGGTTCTCTCTTAACACATGAGGAAGTGCAGTGTACCTTAGATAAAATGTTGCCCCTCAACGACCCCCCCCCCACACGCACATCCTTTACCCACCTTCTGCACACACACAACCACACACAACTCATCCTCATCCAACCATCTCCGCCTGCTCTCTCTGCGGTCCGTGTATCTCGGCACTTATGGCTGGCAGGCCACAGCAGCACCCCTTCTCAGCTCTGCCAGGGTGCACATGGGGGTTATGTGTTTCCTGAGCAACTTGAGCAAATATGGGAAGTGGTGGTGACCTGAAAAGTAACCCTTATGTGACACCCATGCTGCCCTGCTTTCACACCCAGCACATCAGTTAACTGCTAAAAGTGCACAATATTAATAATTTAGAGACTTCATGTCGGTTAATTTTGGTTCATGCAGGACACAGTCTGTGACAATGGCAGTATTCAGCTCAGCAAAGCTGTGGGAGACCAGCGTGTGTGAGAATGTGTTCTGGTGAACAGTACATAAAGAAAACCCTTTTTTTAAACCAATGAATTGATGTTATCTTCGTAACATAGTAGCTCGCTGATAAAAGGCATAAAGCATCACATGGTAAGGTACGAAGCGTCACATGATGCTGAGGAAAGACACTGTGATGTGTTCAAGGAATGCCTTTAGTAGAGGCCCTGGAGGTATGCTGTAAAATGTTTTTTTCTCTTAATACATTTCTATAAAAAAGTGAACATCACAGAAGCTGCAGGCAAACTTTGTTTTTGTGTTTCCTGCAGTATAAAATTTTTTGGAAATGCAGAAATTCCTGGCAGTCTTAAACCAGTAAAAGTCACACTACTTTCCACAGAAACGGCCTCCAAGCTTTGTACTTGCCACATCGCACCAGCAACTCTGTTTCCTTCTTACCTTAAGCTTGAAAACATGCAGGAGTGTTTCATATTAAACTGCCAGATTTACCACAAACTGTGTCGGAAGGAGTGTGACATGCTTATCAAATTTACAACCACAGCAAGGAACCACAGCAAGGTTGAGCAATCGCAGCCAGCACATATTGACAGGGGACCTGTTGCACAAAACACAGGGGGTTACATGCACATGTTCTTACTTATCTTTTCATATTTCAAATTGCAAAATATGAGTCTACTCTTTTGGAGCCAGAACATGTCCCAAAGTTGCATCCTTCTGAGGGAAAGGGACTATTGCCAAGATGAGTGATGGATCATCTTTATAAAGTCTGATTTGGAAAAAATAAAAACAAAAACTGCAGTGCTAAATGTGTCAGTATCAATAACTCTCTAGGATGTTTGCTTCAACAAACCTGGAGCCTAGAAGTCAAAGTGATCTATTGTTAAATAAGAGCTGACAGGTCTTAATAGGTTAATCAGGGTTCAAAAGCACCTCGTTCCACTTTATTCCCACATCTGCTGCATATGAATAAAAGGAGCAACTGACTGTGTAACTAAAAATGACTGCTAACTGGGGAAACAACAAGAATGTTTCTAGGATGTTTCTTATAGCCATACTCAAGGCAAACTGTAAATCAAGATTATATACAGAATTAAATGGGGCTTCTCAAAGTCAAGGATGCTTCCTTGGTAGGATGGGTCCTTCGAAGTCGGATCCTACAGAGGCTAAGTAGGCAAGACTCCTTCCTAGCATTCGATAAACACACAGTGGAACAGGCTAATGAGTGCTCAGGTGTGTGTCATTGAAGAGGCCCCGACTTTGTAACACATAATCATGAGTCAGTAATTCGTAATATAGTCCACATAATCAAGAAGACTGGAAAGAAGGAATTATTAAGAACCAAGTCACTGTAAGGACGGAGGTTAAGGTGGTGAATGGGTCAAACAATCACAGTACTTTCCACCAGGAGACTGTTTGCGTCCTGTGTGAAACCAAGTGAACTTTTAGTTATTTAAGGTACTTCATCACTGTTTCTTTTTCCTAACCTGATCTAACCTAACCTTACATAACTTTACATTAAAGCCACAGTGTGTAGGAATTTCTCCCATCTAACGCTGAAATCATATATTGTATTCAAACAGATAGCTCATTCTAGCGCCTCACTGTTTCAAATGCGTATTGCAACAGCAGCTTCAGCAGCTCTTTCCACCTGGGAAAGGCTACCCTGATGCTGACCCTCGTTTTTTGAATTTGCTGGTCATGTTGCCTTTTTGATTCTCCATTGAGCTTTTTGGTGACGAGGATTCCGTCTGTCGTGATGCTGCGTATGCATGATCCTGCATTATGCTCAAAGAGTGGGACTTTGTTATGCTGCAGTAGCGCCGGGGTAGTAGCAAAGCGCTGGCTTGGCTCTCAACTAAAACACAGAAGGCCGGGTTCTTCCCTGGTAGTGCTATATGTCCTTTACTGGCAGATGCATTTTCAAGATGGTGAATGTTATGCCATATAGTTACCTGACAAGTAACTTAGCAGTGTTCCAAGTACAAATGTATTGTTATCTTCCCTGATGTGTTTTATCTATCAACTTCCTGGTCCTTTTATCAGCCAGAAATGAAAGAATGAGCAAAAGCCATTGCTTATGTGAGTATATCGTGAAAAATAAAGGGATGATCCACACACCAATTGAAGCTCCCATAGTCAAATTTATTCTCTCATAGTGTGACGTTTTGAGCCAGCAGCCAGAGCTTCAATTGGTGCGCGGATCATCCCTTTATTTTTCATGTTTATACTTTTTTGATCCAGCACCCTGAACCTTCACTGTCGGATGTGCGTGTTTTTTGATCTTTACTTGCGAGTATATCCCCATACAAGACACACAGACATCGACACTTTCTTTTTCTCAAGAGAGAAAGTTTTATGACGTCACCTACGTAACTTGTGTAGCCTTTCAAATCATGCATTGTCATAGTCTCATACTTCAACAGTTAGTGAACTGAAAAGATCATTTTGCAAGTCAAGAGGTCGCTGTTTGTCGCCAAACATCATGTGTAAATTACGGCACGGCAATTCAAAGGGGATCAAAAAAATGTCTCACCATTGACTGGCGTACAAATTTCACCAGAAGGAGAGGGGACATAGTATGAGTGTGGTTTGACCCCCAGCTCCTCCAGTCCACATGTTGAAGTGTCCTTGGGCAAGATACTGAACCTCAAATTGCTCCCGATGGCTGTTCCATCAGTTTGTGAGGGTGTGAATGGAGTAGCAGTTTGCACCATGTATGGTAGTCTTGGCCACTAGTGTGTAAATGTGTGTGTGTGAATGGGTGAATGTGACACTAGTGTAAAAGTGCTTTGAGTGGTCAGAGCACTAAAACGATGCTGTACAATGCGTCCATTTACCATTAACAACTAACTTTAATACTGTGAGAGCTGCCTTGAGTGTCAACATCACACCACTGGCCTAATTACAATGATACTACAAAGATTCTTCTCAGCCTTTCTCTCTTTTTAAAACTTCCTTAAGTCTGACAAACAAACATTTACATCAATGGTGGGATTTCCTGTTTTCTCTTATCAGTTAGATCCTGAAACAATGGACTCTGCCCACGCAAAATTTGTGCACCAGGCTCGTCTGCTCACAGCGCTGTCGTCCTCCTCGCGGCTTTCCCCTTGCAACCAGATGTCCCTTTCTGGGCTGGAGCCAAAGGATTTAGAGTACAAGCAGGAAGAATGGCTGGCTAAAAAATCAGATAGTGTGTCATCCATTACTGTACTTTACGTTAGCTTTTCAACCTCCATTTCACAGCAAAGTAGAGATGATCTGGATTACTACTCCCTCGGGGGAGAACCTGCTACGAGCATTTACACACATGTGCAGCTGGCTGGCACTGCACTTGGAAAAATATGACTGTCATATGTCAGGCATGAGAAAATTTCTTTGCATCACCCTGCAGACTTTCAAAGATATGCAATGATAGAAGCTGCATGGAATGGTGTTGAGCCTGATGTGGTTGTGTGCAAGGACGTAAAAAGGGACCAAAACTATTTCACTGGGAATTCAATATACACAATTTTATTTACATTGACACATGTAGTAGCAACACATCAAATTTACACAGTAACACTAAAGCCTCAGGTTTAATAAATATGTAGCAAAATGCAGGAAAACTCGTAGGGGAGCAATGACATGAAAAATAATCTCTTATTCTCTTATCCAGAAATATCATTTCAACTGATATTACCAGGGATATTGATGATCAGATATGATCACTGGGAGCAGTTTAGTCTGTTTGACGAGGCAGTTACCAAGTGAACTGGTATAACTGGTTACAATGGTGAATCAGCCAAAATTAAAACATTAGCCAAAATGAATCTCTTCTGTTTAAGTTACCATGGTGACAGAGACACAAGCAGCTTTTTTTTTCCAGTTGAACCTCCACTTTAAAATCTGTGCACACATAAGAAAATACAGCATAATAAAACTCTGCGTCAGTGTACCACATCTTCATTGAGATAAACATCTTCAAAAGCATCGACATTACTTTACAATATACACACATTTATATTTACAAAAAGACAGAGCAGTAAGACTTTTTTTAAGTTTTAGTAGCCTAAACTATTTGATGAATCTTTAGTAGTGGCACCTCTTGACAGTGAATCTTTTTAAATTCTGCAATCATACCGACATGCACATAAAGACAAGTACACGTGCATGCTCACACACACACATTCACACACATGTTCATACACACAAACAGGACACTTTCCTGGTGCTCTTCACAACAACATCCACCAGTGGGAAAAGGGGAATCATAATGGTCTGGAATGATACAGACTACTGGCTGAGAGGAGCTGAAAGTCCCACTTCTGATGGAGGAAACAGCTGGATACAAAGAAGAGAAGAACTGCCGGGAAACCAGCTACTGGTCGGAGAACAATGAGATGACCAACACACTGAGACTGAGCACTGTGCCCAGCGTCATAGTCTGAACAGATAGTCTTGAAGACCGACTGGCTTGTCACCTCAGGGAATATTGCAGTCCACTTAATGGCAGTTCACATGAGCATTGCCCTGACTTTGTCCATGATATATACTGTACTATGTAGAACCACAGCGGAGCATGGGCAAAAACACTCCCAATTGCCTCAGCCAAAACAAAAAGTTCCCGTTTCCTGGTCCTTCATGAAGGGGAAGAGAGTGAAAAGCAGAGAAAACACGTCTCAGAAATGGCAGTACCTGTCTCATGCTTGTAAACAAAGATCATACACTGGATGTGGCAGGAGAGGCAAACCATATAAACCTGAACACCTATTTACACCTTTACAATAAAACTCTCCAGCAGTCCAGCTGTCAAAAAGTGAAACTATACACCTGCATTACATGCTTATGCAACAAAGCGAAGATCAAAGTTAAGAGTTACAGGCTTCTCAGACTGTCTTCTTTGTCACACATTTAACTGTCAGCCTAGTTGCCAGAAGGAAATGTTTGGATTTTAATTTCTGCAAACCACGGACATTTGTAAGTTTCATTCGTATCATATCAACATTTATAAAGTGACACAGCTGATTACATGTATATGAGTTGACTTTGTCATTGGGAGGTGGAAGGGACAACTAGGTGAAAGGGCTGCCAATCTGTAGACTACAGGTTGAGACCAACCAACAAGGAAAGTGGTTGTTTTTAGCAAGACTTTGGCGGCATTTCAGGTGGTGATTGTGCCACAAAATAGGGTGTTTTCAGCCAAAATATGATCTCCTCCTAACCATTACCATGTGGTGTTGTGCCTAAACCTTTCAACCATCATTAAGCAATGTTAAGTTTCAACATTTTCACTGAATAATAACATACAAATGTTACATATCATCAGTGGTTTGCAGAAAGGTACAATACCAAAATTTCCTCTGGCAATTGGATTGTTAAACTCTCAGCTCATTGTACAGCAATGACTAATATCATTACCTACAGATATGTACACATATACAGTCACAAAGCACATATATGAAAAGCTAGCGTACCATACCATATCTCAGAAGATGACTGTGTGTGTGTGTGAAGCAATCCACATTATGTGTTAACAGATCCAGTGAAGATAGTTGCTCTCTCGATAGTGACATCCAACATAAAAAGAGCAAAAAAATGTATTTTCTAATTGACTTGAAGCACTTATGGACTCTAAGCATGACCGACCACGCTGTCTAATAGCTTATATACCAGTGTTTCGATATCTATATTTGAATTGGCCCCCGAAAAAGTGTCTCCTTCATATCAACATAGGTCTGAACAGTTGGAAATAATACTGACAATAAAAGAGTAAAAAAAAAAAAAAAAATTAAAGCTGCATTATATGGTGTATGTAATGATGAAGTTCAAGTGCCTCAAGTGCTTCTCCTCCAACAATTGCAACAGCCAACCAAAATAAAAATGCTACATAAATATCCATGACAGAAAAACAACAAAGAATAACAAAACACAAAATGTATAAAGAAAAAAAACTCCAATTATTAGAAAGAAACAAAATAAACTTTATGAAATGTTTAGGAAAAATGTAACTGAACAAAAAAAATAACAAAACAGATAACAGTGTAATAATGAAGTTAATGACAGTTTAGAGTAACGGTTGATGTCCCTCCACCCATATCGGTGCCTTTACAGTTCTTTGCTATGAGCAGGGAGCATTAGTCCAACTGTCCTCCCTGTAATCAGTAGGCAATCATAGAAGTGATAATGATAAAAGCCATTCATCCTTTGTTGTTTCTGGTAATAGACGGCAATTACCATTCCTCTGCAACACTTGAAAACAAATGCTGCTGGTTCTGGGTGGGAGGGTGTAGTGGTTGGATGGTTTGTGGCGGAACATTACAGGCACTTTATGAGGCAGCCAGACAGGTTGGGTGGGTCCTTACACCCGTTGGGCTCTGAGGGTTGTCCCCTCCAGGAAGACCTCGTGCTGGACCAGTAAGGGCTGGGTCTGAGCGCTGTTGTTGCCGGTTGAGTTGAGACGGTGAAGCCCAGCGCTCTGAGAACTGGGCTCCTCCCTGGCTCTGGGCGTCACAGGTGGCCTGGAGCTAAAGTTCAGATAAATCTGTAGATAAGGAAGAGGTGGTAAAGAGAGAGAAAGGAGGGTGGGAACTTAGTTTGATATTTCATATTGGTTCAGTTCTGCATTTTCAAACATCTTAGTTAAATGTCAATATTTATCTTATCTGCACGGGTTGTCTCTTGTCACTTAGATGTTTTATTCATGCGTCATTACATCATGCAGAGAGAAGTAAAAGGAATAGTCTGACATTTTGGGAAAAACACGTATTCACTATCTTGCTGAGAGTTAAATGAGCTCTGTCGCAAATCTCCTGCAATCAGCGTTATGCACAATTACACTAAAAGAATGCGTTCATTTAACATGCTCGTACTTTTGGTGAACGGTGAACTGAATGTTTTAGTTTGCATCATATGAACTTGAAAAAGAGCGGTGTTCACTCCAGTGACAGTAAACAACACTTGTGCAGATGCCACTTCAGATAATGCAGCTACTGCTAGTACAGATTCCAACAAAAACACATGACGTTTTTATGCGCATTGTGCCTGCCGGTTCTGACAAAACCAGTCTGAACCTCAGCCACCTTGGTAAACAATTTTAAAACGACACATCAAGTTAAAGCTACCGACCAGTGCTGGGAAATCTGACGATGAAAAGGAGTCATTAACCATGATTCAGCAGCCGCAAAGTTCCTCCACCCTCGCCAGATTTACAACATATTGGTAAAGGACCAGGGGTCTCATTTATAAAACACTGCGTAGAATCTAAACTAAAAATGTATGGACAAAAGCCAAAAATGGCTTTTCAACAATTTCTACAATCAGGCTTCCACGTCACCATCTGCATCGCCAATGTCCGTCACCAAAATTTCTGTAAGTTTGGTTCAGAGTTTCTCCCATCAAGTCTGTTTTTATAGATGACAACTTTTGTGTGGGGAGTAGCGTTCGCCTCTCTCAGGCCTCGTTTTGTGCCCGTGGTCTTTTTTTCATATTATTGCTTTCTGTAAATCATGCGCTCTGCAGAACTGAAATCACAACACTTCTTTCAGATAGTTTGAATTACTTCTTTCACCTAAAGCAACTGTAGTGATGCCAATGGTGGAGCCGGTGCCAGCTTGTTTGGAAGAATTCTGAATTTTATATTTTATGTTAATGAACTGCTTCACAGTTTGGTTCATGCAGGTTAAATACAATTTCCATTGCATCTACAGTTTACCTTTACTGCACCTCCTTTGTTTTCATTTTCTGCATGACATTATATTTTCTAAGTGGTGAAAACTATAGGCCTACTCAGTGTTTTCTTGGCTTTCAAAACTAAACTCTGTCTGTGATTCTGTAGTAGTATACAGTAATTCATTTAGTTTGGGAAGTGGGCAGTGGCAATGGCTGGGGGCTGGGGATGGATGAGTAGGTGAAGGTTCAACATAAAAAGAATAGCTCGGAGCAGCTAATTTTAAACTAGAATTACCGCCTTGCAGTTGTATGCCTCCACCCACCAGTCAAGCTGCACCTACAGTCCAAATCCACATCTGTGAAACATGGATGCTTCACACACATCTTCCCCTCCGGGCAGCAAAGATCTGTACAAGCAGCACACTTTGAAGGTGGACACTCTAAGGTAAGTGTCACCAATTCACTATCTGACCAAATGCCCCCCCCTCTGCTCCTCAGATGTGATGTTCAGTAATGGCGAGAAAACTGTTTTTGCAGAACATTATGATGTCACAGTGAAGCTGACCTTTGACCTTTTTGGATATAAAATGTCATCTATCTATGCCTCAAATCTAATGCACGAACACAAGAGTGGTATAGATCTTTTTATCTAACTCTCGACAAGAAGCAAACAAGATTAATTCCCAAAATGTCTACTTAACATTGACATTGAACTGTGTGAGCTGTTGGAGTGTGACAGGACAGTCATGAGAACAGTGGAGGAACTCATATGTAGCATGATCGAATCAGACCAGCTGAGAGTTCTAACACAACAGCTGGTGCTGTGAGAGGCCCCTGACCTTTGGCCGAATTATGTGTGAACGCTCAGGAGGTGATTTTAAAAAAACAGTGTTCCCACGAGAAGTGATGCGACAGTCTTACAATCGCACAACTGGTGTGTTAGCTGAGAGATTTGTATCAGAAAATCAGAAAAATCAGAAAAAATTAAGCACTTTTTAAAACGTTTTTAGCATGAAATAAGCCTGGTGTCCATTAGTCAGAGTGCAGTGTTAAGCACAGAGGACAATATTTAGGTTTATGTTGCCCAATATGTAGAAACATTTTCTTTTGTGGAGACTAAAAAATTGTGTCAAAGGTACAGTACACAACCACTTTAAGACCCTGGCGTCGCTTCTTTCACTACCTCATAATTCTGCTGAACCACCTGTGAAGTCTTCATTTATTATTTCTAAAAAATTAACTTTTAAACCATTTAAAGTGAGAGTAAACAACCTACATGTTTAGTGGCATCTGACAGCTGTTGTTCGATCCTTTCCACGACCTTCCTGAAGGGGGGTCTGTTGAAGGGGTCAGGATCCCAGCAGGACCTCATAATCTGATACCTGCATCGCAGCACAGAAACACACAAACACATTCATTTGTCTGCAGTTATTACATCCCCTTTCTTTTTTTATGTGTATATTATTCTCTGTTCTCAGTTCCACCTAAGAGTTTTAGTTATGCTTGTGAAAAGCCAAACGCAACAGGATGAGAGCTGACTGCTATTCAACCCCCCACACACACTGCATTCTTTTATAGTCTCACCACCTCCACCTACCACCTTACACCATCTCTCTCCTATGATCCTTTTACGCACACTTGTGTTTCACTTCCAACACCTTTTACACACACTCATATTTCACTTGAGCAAGAACTCACATTTCACTGGGTGCAAACTCTGGAGCATCCATTCTGTATCCTTCTTTTATCAGTTTGTAGAACTTGGCGTCCACAGGCATACCAGGATAAGGACTGTTTCCTACATTCAGCGGGGAGATTCAGTTACATTGTGCTCCTCTGAACACACACAGCCAGCCAGAAAAACACACATATACACAAACACACACACAATAGATGTATAGACTTACCTAGTGAAAAAATTTCCCAAAGCAAGATGCCATATGACCACACGTCACTCTCGAATGTATAAACACACTCGAAGATACTTTCTGGAGACATCCATTTCACTGGCAGACGAGCCTGAAAGAAAAACACAGAGTGAGTAGATTGAAAGATTAAAAGCCTTTCCCCAGTGATGTTTTCTTTTCCTTTCATTTTCTTTTTTACCATGGCTTAGGTCAAAAAACTTTGTGACTGAGGAATTCTAACTTAACACACTGTACAAAATGTCAAGTATGCACACTTTGTTTGCCTGAGGATCTAAAATAACAGACAACCACAAGAGCCCATCTGCAACGCCCGTACCTGACAGGTATGGAAAAAATGTACCGACGTGCATCGCAGTCAACTCATCAGCTGTCATTTGGAAATACTACCTGCTTGCCAGGAGGCACAATAAATGCAGGATTTAATATGATTTAATGTTGTATCTTGAGGCTAATGATTTCAATAAAATAGTATATTTGTCGCGATCAATCAGACGAAACAGTTCAACTGAGGCCACCGCAGAGACTGAGGAAAACAAAATGGTATAAAGGTAACACTAAAGTTTAAAGGGAACGTACACCTTGAGATGTGAAATGAGTACTTTTGGGTAATGTACGATAAAGTTCAAGGACGAAATAAGTTTGTCTTGCAGAGAGATATATGTACCTGTGATATATGCTATCCTCACATAAGAAGAATGAAGTGCAAGCGCAATAGATGCCCGGATTTTTTGTTTATTTGTTTTATAACATGATGGCTGCAGATATGAAAACTTTCACATCTCTGGATTGGGTTTCACGAGTTTTGTGTGTGAAATACTAGCTAGCTGAAACCAGGATGTACAATCGAAACCTAAGAATTGCCGTAGCTAGCAAAGCTAAGCCTTTAGTAATGTGTAAATCCATCAAAAACATCTGAAGCTATGTTGTCTCAAAAGCAATCAGCTCTATGTGAAAGTCATTAGTTGGGTTTCCATCTGAATGGGACACAAATTTTATATAAATTTTCAGAATATCGGCAATAAAAAATAGGAATTTACTGGTATGCGCTTTTCTATCCACTATTAAGTGGATATCTGGGGTTGGTTTGAGATAAGCAGTAGGTGGAGCTAATTCTCAGTCAGTCAGGTGCCACTAAAGAATAAGACGAAGCGACAAAATGACATAATTAAGAACGCCAGCCAAATATCAAACCAAGGAAACAATGGATGCATAATAATGGAGAACACCCTGGACAATGGAAGTAAAGACTTTTTAACAACTAATTTTACAGAGCTGTTACCAGAACTCTGTGAAGAGGATCTGGGGTCTCATTTGTAAACGTTGCGTACGCACAAAACGAGGCCTGAAAGAGTCGTACGGCACTTCCCACGCAAAAGTTGTCATCTATAAAACCAGACTTGATGGGAGAAACTTTGACCTATGCTTATGAACATTTCGGAGACAGGAATTTGGCGATGCAGACGGTGAGCTGGAAGCCTGATAGTAATTTAATATTTTTTCAGTACAAGCCATTTTCGACTTTTGTCAGTACGTACACTTAGTATGGAATCTACATTGTTTTATAAATAAGACCCCTGGTGACAGCCCTGTGTGTAGTAAGTGTGTAAAAAGCCATTTACAGATGATAGAGAGCTTCCAATGACCTTTGCAATGACGTAACAAATACCTAACATTATGGTTCAATGGTGTTCATTATGCCTTTAGTTTATGATAGTGACTTTAGTTGTTCTTTTATCTCAGACATGTTAGGATATTCCGCCTTCCTCAGAAGTGTCACTTGGTGGTGGTTGTGACGCGTCTTTATCAGCTGATGTGTCAATCAGTCAATCAGTCATGTGTCCCTAACATCGGCTGATTGACAGATCTCTTATAAAGACGCATCACTTCTGAGGAAGGCGGAAGTTTCCACCGAAACATGTCAAGGTATGTAATATCCTAACATGTCTGAGATAAAAGAACAACTAAAGTCACTACCTAATATTATGGCATGTCATAATTTATTCGTTGAATCTGTTTCCATTGCGCTTAGTCACTTCTACCTTTTAATGATAGACCAACTTTTCTACCTCCCCCAAGTGTAAATACCATATTCACAATACCTCAAGATATTTTTTAACTGTTGCTGTTTCCATTCAGGTGAATGGAAACACACCTACTGTACTGTTGCACCACAAGCTTTAACCGAACCGCCAACATTAACAGTTAAATGAGGCTAAATGATGTATTAAACCTCAGTGCTAATCCTTTCTATATGTAGGCATGACTGATTTTCTCACTTTCTTTGCTTCTTTATTTATGTTTGAAGAAATATGTGTCAGAGTTGATATTTTCATGGAGTTTAGAGTGTAAAAGACCTAATTATGCTAACGTAACTGACATCATCAGTCTAACATTTTGTTGTTTTAATCTAATTTAACAGCGTACATTGTTAAACGCTTCATTAGTGTCATGTCGATGTGTCAATATTTCATATTACCTCCTTTAGTCTTCACTTTACTCTTCACGTTAGCAAGCTAACATTAGCTTTGTCAGTCAATTACCTATGCAAGAGTTGGCACCAGTAGGTGTAAATATTTAGTGACAACTTATCTCTATGTAAGAACAAGTTTCAGTGGTGCAACCTGTTTCATTTTAGTGTTACGTAAATGTTCACTTTGTAAACACTTATAATTGTGCTAAGTCTGAATTTACAAATAGCTGGGAGGAACCAGGGCTCTACCAGAGGTGACATTAGCTAAAACTTGCCTCGAAGTAGAAAGTCAAATGCAGCTGTATTTACTGTTTGGTCTTGAACATGTGTTGTAACATTAAATAACTTGACTTATCTTAACACACATATAGAGCTAAAAAAATAGCTTTCTAGTGAATTGGTACAGCTCCTGAGGTGGAGGTTTGCTGCACAGTAGCTCTGACAAGTAAAGACATGATGGACTAAAGCCTGATTTATGAAAGTACACTCAGCACTTCCAGTGAATGTTTCATTTTTTATTTTTAGCAGGGAAATGTGTTGCTTGGCACTTATTTCATGATGCAAACCTGGAGAATTTTAAGTTGCAGACACTGTCTTATATTTTTTGCACAATAGACTCTAGGTATGATGTTTTTCTGTGTGCTGACTTGGAGATTTGTGTCGTCCTGGTTCCCTCATTAGAAAGCCAATGCGATTTTTCCATTGGATTTTGCGTCATTGCAGGAATAAGCTCTGTGGTAAACAGGAGTTTTGTGTTCAGCAAGATGATCTACACAAATGAGCACAACTTTCATGACTTTTTCAGCCTACATGAATTTGCCAGAGGTAAAAGCTAACGTTAGGCTGAAAATGAACTACACTGTGGTCCCATGATTTAATATCACTACCATAACAAGACTGAAGACGAGTTCAGCGTGATGACGTTCTGTCATCTCATTTAGCCACTTGTTTGCAAACGCCTTCAAAATTCAAGTGAGGTATTAACTCATGTATTTTCTCGTAGAACAAAACGGGAAAATATCTTCTTACCAAAAACCCATTCAAAAAAACCCATTGACTTTGAAACAAGTAAACCGGGAGTGCTAAAATGCTAACTCATTTCTGGGTTTTAGGCACTCTATGCGATTAGGTAGTCACAGCAAACTTCTCTGACACATCTATTGGAGTTTTTGTGCGCCGGAATGAGCAACATTGGGCCGGTGTTGTGTTGAAGACTTTTTCCCCATCTATGTGTTTCCCCTACTTGAAACAAACCTTGTCCCTGACCCTAAACTCAAACACAATCCGAAGGGGAAACAGACTTTGATACAATGGCAGATCCGGTTGACCATGTCATCAAAACACTTTGCAGACATCTGAAAAAATCAAACGTCTCCTTGTCCATGGTCTGCATTTGTTGGTCCAAAACATATTCACCCTGTAGCTCCCTTGTTTGGCTCAATGGACGTACTGAAGACCTCCTTTTCTTGCTCTCCCTCTCAGTAGAAGTAATCGTTCAACTTACAATCTCCTCCTCTTCAACTAACTCACTGATTTTATCAAATCCCTTCTTTACCTAAATGCAAAAGGATAAAAGGTAGCACAAAAATAGACACAAAGCAAACTGCCCTCAGAAGGACATACCGATCAGGATGATATAATGTACATAAACAATCCTGCTATCGAGCAGCTCTGTAATTTCTGTCTATCGAGCAGCTAACTAAGTACTTTACAAATTTAATGAATTAGAACATCGTTTCAACTCAGAAAGCCAAAGCACTGGGTTTGATTTAAGACAAACATGTTGGAGGAGGAACTTCGTGACACCACTGGATGTACCCTGCATCTCAAATTCCCAAGTGTCAAGCGCAGACTTACATTGCCTTTGACTACGTAGTTGGAGTCCGTGTTGATGTCCCGGGCCAGGCCAAAATCACAGATCTTTGCCACCCTTCCTTGAGTCAGGAGAATATTTCTGGCAGCCAAGTCTCTGTGGATACACTTAAGAACAAATGCACCACTACCTTTAATATCTGATTATACATGTGATGTACGTGACCAATCAATGATATAACATTAGGCATGGATGGAGCTCTTTTTATAATGCAGCTTGGTACTGAATTTCCACACTTGAATGTGTAACACGCAACCACTGACACTGATACATGAGCTCACTGACAACAGTATCTTGCCTCCACAGCTAATAAATCTTTCAACAGCATGCTCCAACAAGCATTTTAGATCCGTTTACTAGCCGTGGAAACATGATTCATGCTCTGATATCATCGATAGAAATAATATCTATCATCCAAAACCAAGATATGATTGATATGCGATGCTCACATTTTTGGAGGCTAAGAACTCCATGCCTTTGGCCACTTGATGTGAGAAGCTGAGAAGGTCTTCAGTGTCTAGAGACAGACCGTCCTCGTCAAACAACTCACTCTCTGCATCTGCTTCAAAGTAGGAGCCGCCTGAGAGGACAAAACAGGATAGATATTATTTTTCTGACATGGTATGAGTCTTACTTCAACTGCTTCTCTGTGTATTTTAAGACTGAGATATTTGATGAATGGCTGGCTTGCTTGCCTTTGCGTAGCGAGCGTCTCTTCTCGGAGGATGAGCTGGACGGCAGGTTGCCAGCAGCAGAAGGCCTCATGGTCATGTAGCCGTTCAAGCTGTCACTGTGAAGAGGAAAGGAGCAGTCTGGTCTCAGCTGAGCACAGCCACACAAAGACACGCTGCTGTCCAAATACCCTCCTCCTACGCACGTTCTGGATAGTAAATACTAGTACTCTTTTCTCCTACACACACAATATACCACTCTTCATACACAAAAAAGAACCTGACCCAGCAGCGTCTCTCTGCGGCATGACGTTGCGGTAGTAGCTGTCTTCCTCGAGCTTATAGCAGATGAAGGATTCCCTCTTTCTGCGTAGAAAGTTAAGGAGGTCTCCAAAGCAGCAGTACTCTGTGATCACCAGTGTAGGGCCTGCAGACAAAGAAATGTGCCTCATGATCATGATCTGTCAACATACATGACTCACAGCTTTTGTAAAAAGGCTGAGTAACTAGGTGAAATAAAGCTCTACGGTGACGGCAAACAGAATTAATCTCTTTAAATTCTGTCAACATTCTCTAACGTTTACAGTTTCAATCCACAGTCTTAAAGGGGCTCTTTGGGAAATTAAGAGTGTATGAGTTGTCTGGTCACGGTGCTCAACATAGATGGGGCTGAGCTGATGGCAAGCAGCTGACAGTGCTAATTCCATTAACAGTGCTAAACAACAGCAGCATTGCTGACATAGATCAGTGTTGATTGGGGAGAACTAGAGGGTGGAGGCTATGCTTCAGCGTGGTTCCGTCTTATACACTGTTTGTACGTATACTATGAAAACTAATGCACCGCAAATTGTATTTAATGCATGTAATCATGAGCCAGTAATTTGTGTATGATAAATGTTATCGAGAGGCTGCATCACATAACCAATGCACCAATATGTAACATTATGATGCCCAACTGTGTTTCTTTTCCTATACTTAACATACCTAACTTTACTTGCCTCAACCTAAGCTACATTTCAGTAGGACAACTCATGTCTTTAATATTTATTTCACCAGCAGAACATAGCCGGAGTTTGGCATATAGACTCCGGCCTCTGATTAAATATTTCCGCCTTAGCCGGAGCCTGCAGGTGCATGCTGAGGTGGAGGTGGGGCTGAAAGAGCGAGCAGCAGTACTGATGTAGGACAGCAGTAGCATTGATAAGGCAAAGGGAGAGCTGGGAAGATTTTGCAGCTTAAATACACGCCAAACTGGGAGGGTGTGTTTTGTAGATGCCATATGGAGAGTGACGTATGACGTGTGTGTATGAATCAGTGCAGCTCGAGTTGACTGCCTGAACTAGCTCACAGGTGTCGATCCATAACTTAACTTGCCTAAACCTAACCTTTGTAACTTTATATTAAGTTCTTAACTTTACATTTTGTATCTTTCATGGAGCATTAACTTATTTGATATCATATGAACTGCTGAATGTGCCTGTCTGTAAGATATCGTATAAGCTGTTGTACGAGGATACGTCGGTGGGACACACACGTGCACTAACAGGCGTGCTCAGGAGGACTGCCTTACCACAACTGACCACAAAGAAGATCAGATTATAACACACAGAGCATGACTTCATTCTTTGCCCAGGATGCCAATACTCCACTTTATCTTAACACAGCAAATAGTTGTTTGCTGTTATATTAACACTCTGAGTGTCACGCAAAGAACCTTTAAATGATAATACAGGACAACATGGATGACGCACCTCCAACAGTGCAGGCTCCCAGCAGGTTGACAATATTCATGTGGTTTCCCAAGTAGCTGAGGACTTTCAGCTCTGACATCAGTGCCTCCTTCTCTGTTGCATGAGCGCTGGCTGTGGGAATGAGAAGGAAGATAATCAGAGTCAAATCAGTCAAACAGTGATGACATATCTTGATCTTGTATTTGCAGGATTAAAAAAGAGAGAGCGGCGCTGGAGGCTAATTAAAATAAAAAGGTGCCTGTTAAATATTTTCAATTTGGCAGCAGTGTGCAAGTCACCAAATAAAATTATCCACATAATTGCTGTATTTCTCTGAACACCTGCAGCAAAGTTATTCATTCATCACTACTTCAAAAGCTAGCATGCACATTTGTCATAGAGTCACAAATAGCCACGCTGTGCTTGCTCCACTTCATTTGCATGTGTGTTAACAGTGCTTACATTTGAGCATTTTCACAGCCACCGTCATGACTGAATCTGCTTTCGAGAGTCCATATGCAGTGGCTTCCACCACTTTCCCAAATGCACCAGATCCCAGAGTCTTCCCTGTAGACAAGAAGACAAAACTGTTATTCCCCATCCTGTTTCCCTCCCACAAACTGGCCCTGTGCCAGCGTTCCTAGGACAACACCAGTTTTAGCCCCGGGGCTGTGTACGTAGGCACCAGGACACGCAGGATCCTGTTTAAGGAGGTTTGTTAAAAACAACACCCACAATATGTCAACAATATCATGTTTGCAGTGAGGGAGTGGGGTTACATCATTAATGAGCTGTGAAACTGGTTAGTGACCATGGACATGGCTAAAACCTTGATGCTGTGACCATACACAAAAAACAGAGTTTGTCAATCAGCATGAAGTAGCCTGAGGGGGGCAGCGGTGATGTCATGCCGACTGCACTGTTAGGCATTATTACTGAGACTGTTACTGACAAAAGCCTTCATTTATCTCCACATCACTGTGCTCAGAGGGTGATTTACACCCAGACATAAAAACCAGGACGTACACTACGGTGTCAGAAATGACAGATTAACTAAATTATGGAGGCCTCATCGCAGATCACGCTGCAGATAATTGTGAGAAAGGAGTGCTGGAGGCTCACCAAATCGCAAGTTGTTTCGAGGAAACTCCCACTGGTGATCGTATGGTAGCTGGGTGGGGTCAATGTAAACATAGTTGTTTCCATGGATGCCTTCGATGACTTTCCACTGTATCTGGTATTTGGGTTTCTGGCACGAACGCAGAAAAAAACATCAATTACAAATGAACTTATGTGGTTTTGACATGCTTTAGTCTACTGATTGACTCTTGTCTCAAAATTAGATAGAAGAGGGTGTGCCATGTGGGAAAAGTGCAGAGCTGTCTTACCTGCATGTACTTGTAGAACAGCATGATGAGGACGAGACAGAGGATGCCTGCTGCTGATACAGAGCCAATTAGCAGTGGGGTGAATAGATCATGGGGAACAGTTCTCTCTGCAGGGAGACAGAAATTATCATTTTAGATACAAGTGCAGCAGCCTGTTATCATGCCCTGTTTGTACGTAAACCTACATAAAGTAATGCATCGCAATTTGTATAAGCTAACCCATGTAATCATGAGCCAGTAATGTGTGTGTATAACCCAGGTAATGGGCAAGGTTGCGTTCACGTGACCATACACTGACATGAGTAAAAAAAGGAAGTAAGACCGAAAGTCCATGTAAGCAGGTAGGCTGGGGTGATGGATGCATCACAAAACACAGGACTTTCCCAGGGAGATGGTGTTGGAAACTATGTGAAACCAAATGAACTTTGAGTTTTTCTAAATTTAACCTACCTAACTTTATATGAAGTACGTAACGTAACAATGCCATTCCTGATGTGCTCTTTCATTAGATAACATACGAACTGTTGTAAGAGAATATGTTGCGTAGGTTTGTAGCACTGTTAAGTTTTGTGTGGGACTGCTCAGTGAACTACATCTGTATCACCCACACCAGCTAGCAAGGTTAATTAGTCGAAGAGTTAGAGTCCTTTTAAGGTATGTTGTCACCATGTTTCTTTTCCTGAACCTAACCTGCGTAACTTTACGTTAGAAGCTGACATAATGTGCATATGCAGCTGTAAGACGATAACTAGCATAGGTTTGTAATACTGTATAGCTAACTAGCCAGGTAACCGAGAGAGTTAGAGTACCTTTAACTTACATTGTCACCATGTTTCTTCTCCTAAACCCAATCTATGTAACTTTACGTTATGTAGCCTACATATCATGACAACATAATTCGTTGGGCGCTAATTTGGTAGATGTCATAAAACGGTTGTATTTGCATTTTTGTAAGATATCTTACAAACCGATGTAAGACGATACGTTGCGTAGGTTTGTCATAGTAGCTAGCGAGCTAGGTAACTTAAAGTAAGAGTTCTTTTAACGTACATCATCACCATGTTTCTTTACCTAAACTTTACTTATGGAAGTTTACTTGCCGAAACCTTAAAACACCTAAAGAAATTTAAATTGCCTAAACCTAACCTTTGTCGTAGTAGCTAGCTAGCTAGCTAGGTCACGTAGTATTAGAGATAGAGTTCTTTTAACATATGTCGTCACCATTTTTTTTCTTTTGCCTAAACCTAACCTACATACACATTAAGTACATAACTACATTAAGTATGTAACGTCATTCTAATTTGTAAGATATCATATGAAGTGTTGTATGTGCGTTTTGTAATATCATTCAAATTATTGTGTGACGATACATTGCATAGGTTTGTAGTAGCGAACTAGGTCACTTAGCATGAGAGTTCTTTTAATGTATGCCATCACCATTTTTTCTTTTTCTTTTTTTTTTTTTGCCTAAACCTAACCTTCGTACAATTTAAGTATCTAACTCTAAGTTAAGTACATAACGTCATTTGTGGGGTGCTTATTCGTTAGATATCATACGGACCGTTGAGGGTACATTGACAGCCGTGGTAATAGAGTCAATCAGTGATTCTTTTAATGGTTTGCCGTGTTTACACTCTAAATGACATTGCAAAGGGGCATTATGGTAAGCCACAGAGGGCTAAGTCACAGTGAAGCTCACTTTGGTCAAATCACAGCGAACTAATCCAATTATATGTGTAAACATACTAGCGTTCTATGCTTTTTTTCTGTGTTTGCAAATTTTGCACTTTATTTTGTACTGACTGTTTGAAATCTGTTTCGATCATACAGTATTTTTCTGTATTTCTGTTGCTTTTACAGCTGTGGCTGTGAGTAATTACATATAATCAGTGTTCTGTTCCTTTGTGTCTGGCTGTTTGTGGTGTCTTATTGTTTTGCTCCTCTGTACAGTGGGGTGTAATAAGCTCTTTAGAGATAAGAAGCTTTCTCTCCACTTCAAATCTGAGAATGCAGAGTCTGCAGGAACTAATCCCCTGTAAACCTGTCAGTGGTTTCTAAAGCTCTGTGTATTCTGTGCAGCAGCTCACTGACACCTCCAAGCCTCCCACAGCCCCAGAATGCCCAGCACCGCCAGGACTCCCACTGCGCTCCACACTCTCAGCGCCTCCGCCTGGTCTGCTGTTACTCTGTGAAGCGCAAAAATCCTGGGCACACGCTCCAAAGGCCTGTCCTGCCTGGCCACAAACACTCTCCTCCCTCATAATGCTCGCCCACATACCCGCTGTAGCCACAGTTAGCCCCCCGTGTCCTGCATAAACCCAGGTTTCCAGGCTCAGGCAGGGACAACTTCGCTGTACTTTCAATTCCTGCACCGACACTGCTTTGAGGACATTGTGCAGCAGATGGGGAAGCCGTTACAACAGAGCGGATTTGGAGTCATAAAGTAAACAATGGACTACAGCTTATTCCTATCTGTATGTGACATCGTATCGTGGCCAATCATGTTTGAGGTATCTCCCCTTGCTTATGTTTACCTAACAGATTGTAGACGACCAACCTCTATTTGTAAGACCACAATTATGGGTTAATCCTCGCCAAAATCATGCTTGTAGTAAATATTTTGAGTTGAGGATTAAGTCCAATGTGGGGCTTACAGAACTGCTACGATAACTTTGTTTTTTAGTGCACAGGACAAGGAGTCAGACTTTTTAACGCCACTGAGATTACTCAAGGAATTTCGAATGAAACTAACATCAGGTGGACAAAGATTTGCAATCTGAAAAAAGGGAGATTTTCATGTCTGTATGTCCTCTCTTGTAGTGTTGACTCTGTTGTGCTTAGTTCTAATCTGAAGGTGAGGACATGCAGAGGATTACATCAAATCAGCAACAAAACATGAGACTGACAGGCGCCCCCGTCAGTATCACATGACCCCTTCTGAACTGTGTGGATGGATTACTGAATGGGTCTACAGGCACAAGCCTAGGGGCCCAAAGTGTCTTGGTGGCATTTTGAAGGTGAATACCAGGGGGGGCAAATATTAACACATATCTATCAGAAAGGGATTCAAAATGACCACAAAGTGACACAAAAAGACCACAGAGAGATGTAAAGGAACTGCAAAGAGAAAGAAAATATCTCCAAAAATAGGCAAAACAACCACAAAGAGACACAAAACAACCACAAGGAGAAATAAAATGACCACAAAGAGATGCATAACCACCACAGTCTGTTTGTCTGGCACCTATCTGTGCCCAGGGACCCATTGCCTCATCATCTGCCCATGCATGAACTGCATCTGACGTGAGCGTGCGTGTATGTGAGATCAACTCACCGCTGATGGAAAAGAGCGTGTAGGCCTGCTCCCCCTCCACCGTGGCCACACATTCCAGAGTACTGAACCGTCCCCTGCTCACGTTCACCCGACTCTCCACCTCCGTCTTCCCAAACATGGGGCTGAAGAGTGTGACGGTGATGACATTGTGCTCCTCCTGGGTGGCATTCACCTGTTGAGAGCACCTGAAAGCAAAAGATTACATGTTGTTGACGTGGCTCACTCAGGCATCTCTCCCCTTCGTCTCTGCAAGACATGCATTCCTAGTTACCTGAGTCTTTAACATCTGTGCGATATAAAACTTTACACAATACTCTACACTGTATGTCTGAACGTCTGGCAGAAGTCACAACAATAGTGGGGAATTCCTCCTGAGCTCATGAAATATAGATGAAATGTGTAAAAGGTTACCCAGGGTTCCATAATTCACAGCGCTGCAGCATAAAGAAAAGCTGCTGATGTCTGAGTGCCCTCTGGTCACACGCTCAATCAGGTCACGTTTCTTTATCTTTCTGTACATACAGTACATTTGCGTGCTTATATGTAATTAGTATTAAGTGGATTTGATTATAATTAAAAAATTACTGGATAAAGTTTGGATAAGCACTTGTGATTCACGTCCTGTGCTGCTTGGGATTGGTGTCACTATAGCAACCAGGTGCTCCTCCTTCAACACACTTTATGTTTGACACGAGATGAGACGTGTCCAGTAGTATCCAGGCAGACGTGCCAAGTCCCTACCAATCACAAGTCAATTCTTTCCAATCCCCAGTCACATGAGGCCCATCTTAACACTGTCAACCAATCACAAGTCAGCCCACGTCAAATCCAACAATCCCACATTCCACCGTCATCATCAGTCCTGACCCTGTCCAGTGTGTCTTTAGTGTGACCTTAAGGACCCTCGAGATGCACGTCATGAGAGTTTTGCAAGTGTTTGAATGTAATACTACAGATAAAGTGCAGATCTGAAATGGTGGGCGGGTGCTTTGCAATGAATGGGTGGTGGCTGATCACCCACGGAGTTTCACCTTGTATCTATGGTTGAACACACAGACCCGTCACTCCCATTCAGAAAGCCATGACATATGTTAGCAAACAGATCAATTAGTTGGAAGCATGTTTGTTTAGTAACATATAATGCTTTGGATTTTGGTTTGACAGTTTTTCTTCTGTTTAGTCAGTTTGATGACCAGTCTTTCTTAAAAGTTGAGGGAAACTTTAACCAATAAATATGCAGAAATGTAGATTAAGTTCTGGATTGGAAGATAAACCATATCTCCTTTTCGTAAAGATCCAGTGTGTAGGATGTTGGGGTCATAATGGCAGAAATGGAATCTAATAAATATGTTTTCTTTAGTGTATAGTCACCTAAAAATAAGAATCATTTCACCAACCTCGCTGTATATATCTACATAGAGAGTGGGACCTTGTCCACAGTGATCACCATGTTGCACCCTAATGTTTCTACAGTAGCCCTAAATGGACAAACCAAACACTGGCTCTAAACAGGCCCATTTGTGTTTTCATAGTTAACATAGTTAGCAGCCCCTCCAAGACAAGAGTGTGGGGAAAAAACACTAATTTTTAATTTGAAACTGCTTTATTCAGTGTTTTTACTGGTTTAAATCAGCAGGTCCGTTTGTTTTGGAGAGGGAGAGACCTCTGTGGATAATTCGGCTCCTGGTAAAAACCTCCTGAACGTCTAGATCTTAAGTCATCAGAAAAAGAAGTGAGCACACTTAAGCAGGTGCTCATCTGCGACGTGCCAAACAGTGTCAGAGAAACACTGATTTGTATCGTGAAGCTGTTTTATTCAGTGTTAATGATTTTAATCACCTGGTCTGTTTATTTTGGCGAGAAAGAGATCTCAGCGGATACTTCGGCTCCTGGTGAAAACCTCCTGAGCAACAAACACTAAAGGAATACTGTCCAGGAGAAGTTTCAGCTGCTTTTTATTTGCAATCCTCGCCGCTAGATGCCACCAAATCTCCCTAAATCTTGCACACTGGACCTTTTAAGCTACTCAAATAAAACATTTAAATATTAGGTTTTTCTCCGTGACACTGAACATTCATTATAAGTAACAATTTGCATTGCTAATCTTTAGCTATTTTTTTATCAAATGTTATCACGCAAACTCATCAGGACTGTGAGGGTGTGGTTATTATTGGCCTAACTTAACTGACAATGGCCTGGAGGCATGAGCAAATAACCCCACAGATGCCATCACTAAATTCTGATTGGTGCAGAGACATATGGCATCACATTTCCCAGCATAGCCCCACTCACTGCAAGATCAAGAGAAACTTTTATCAGTAAAAATTAATTGGTGTAGATAAAGTTTGAAACTGGTGGACAGGACTATATCTACTTTTCTCCTCAACGTTAAGTTGTTTGCTAAATAAGTCTTTCTCTATAATATTAAATATTTATTGCTAATAAAAGCAACAGTTAAAACAGTTTAAAAAGAATAATCTAGTTACTTTATGAAGGTGTGGTTATCATTGACCTGATTTGACTGATAATAGCCTGGAGGCATCTGCAAGTAACCCCACTCATGACTAAATTCTGATTGGTGCAGGGATGTATGATATCATTATTTTCTTTCCTGCCCCCGCCCGCTGCAAACCAGTGAGTGAAGCTCAAACGAATTCAGAAACAAACAAATCTTTCATGTGAACACCCCGAACCGAGGAGGAAAATTGAGTGGTCATGTAGCACACAATCACTGACAGTCAGACGCTGACTGAGTAAAAAGGTTTTCACAAAATCTCACCTGGCGTAGGGCTGCTCACAGTAGTACCAGGTGATCTGCGGGGCAGGGAACCCCTCCGCCACACAGCGTACCTGTCCGTCCACTGGGCCCTCATGAGATACAATCTCAGGTTTACCTAACAAACAGAGGTTAATGTGAGAATATGTCAAGTAAGATATTTATGACAAGCTGGAGAGACTTTCACATCTAATTGCACTGAACCTAAGCGAGATATGAACGACACAGGGTGGGCCCGAGGTAAAGAGCAAGACCTAATTTCACACAAAGACAAAGGTCAAACCCATTTCCACACGTCAGCTCCTGAAGATTAATGCAATGTGGAGTACTAGAATCCATTATGTGGCTTAAGGGAACAAAAAACCTTTGAAGAAATCTAATTACAACTTACTGATCACAAAGATGGTGAATGTGTGGTTTACTGAAGCGTCACCGTTGGAGGCTTGAAAGGTGTAAACTCCACCCTCTGACATTTTCAGTCGCACCAGCCTCAGCTCAAAGCTGTACCTGAACATAAAGACATTACATTTTCAGCATGAGTGCACTTATCAATGTTCATTAGCTAAGAATCATTAGGTAAGATGTTTTTAATGCTTCATTAGTGCATAAACAGAAAAAAGCAGATTCTCTTTCATCATGCTGCCTTGAAATGTTCTGAAATTTGCATTTTAGATTATAACCAGTCTTGTGTTAGTCTCCTGCTCTGTTATGCAGTTCACTGACAGTATGCACATGCAAATCATGCTGCTTTCAATTATTCTCAAGTCTACTGTAGACATCTCTTTTTATATTGATTGAGATTGTTCTTGGTGTGAGTTGTTGCGTGTAGAGATGTCTGCCTTCACTCCACTATAATGCAACTAGATGGCACTTGGCTTGTGGTGCTCAAAGCACAAAGAAATACATTTAAGAAACTTAACTGCTGATTTTTCCCAAAATCATGACCTGGTTACTCAAGATAATCCACAGACCTTGTAGGAACTATATTCTACTACACCCGCCGACTTTATCCCCGCTCTGAAGGAAGAGTGCATCTACTCATGGATGAGAGGCTTGTGATCGTGACAGTAAAGGGATGTAAACATTAATGGCGTCATCCACGGCTGAGCTGTAAAGTTAGCTAGCTCAGTGAGTGTTAGGTGAGCTAGCAGTAGATGCACACTTCCTTCTGCACAGTGATACAGTTGGTGGGTGTCGTTCTGTAAATAACACTTAACGTAAAGGGGAATAATATGTATTTTTGATTTGGGGATGAACTGTCCCTGTAACATTGTAAAAAAAAAAAAAACAACTGTTCCCTCATTTACGATTTACTTAAGGGAGTCACAACCAGTAGCGGCTTAAAGGTCATGTCCTATCCTCCCCCTATCAAAAGAAATGTTTGTAACAACCCCATGAAATGCGAGCTAAAATCCATTATGCGTAACATGCAGCCTTGGATAATATTATGTAATATTTCTAGCTGCAGCACAGAGGTAATTCTGCAGATATTTCATGCTTTCTTTTCCTGTGAAAGCCATTTATATTCTGACAGTTCCTGTTTCACTAGAAACCCCAAAGCGTTTTCTTTTTTGTTTGTTTCCAGCTGTATTTCTCATGGAGCTGTGACAAGTGCCGCTGTTACATCAGCACCTCCACTGGCCTGCAGTCAAACCAAGGGTGTGAAATTCCACTCAAAGAGGGTAATGAACATTTTCATCTATGTGGCAAAACTGAGGCACTTAAAGCGAGTGTGTGTGTTTCTGTGTTGTCTCACTTGTATTCATGGCTTCGCATGGTGATGACATGGTCGGTTGTGTTCTTCAGCTCGTGGCCCATGAAGCTCCAGGAGAAAGAGTGCGGCTTCGGATAAGCCTCCATGTCAACATTTAGGGTCAAACTCTCGCCTGAACGGACATGGATGGTTTCGTTCATTGTGGGTGCTGAGTTGATGAAGCCTTTCTCTGAAAAATCAGGAAATGAGGTCTTAGGATTTGCAGAAGTAAAATGTATTCTATATTTATTGAAGTAAAAGTAGGTGGTGCTGTTCCGGAGACTTACAGGCAAGTCACAAACATGCATATGAAGACCTCACAGTCCAAAAAGACGACACACAAGAATCACCCCACATACAGTTTATACATGCAAAGGAAAAGTCTGGGAAATACACTTACTTGCGAAGTAAGATGGGAAGATCAACACCTCTCTAATATCTGACTGTTAAACATAAGGCTGGTGGCTAGCTTAACTTAGCATAAAACCTGGAAATGGGGGGTAAACAGCCAGCCTGGTTCTGTCCAAAGGTAACCACCTACCAGCACCTATAAGGCTAATTAACACCATATATCATGTTTGTTTGATCCGTACACAGGCTGAGGCATGAAAACAACAGTTCTCTTTTTCTTTACGTGGGACTATGACTATTTCTGCAGCCAGAATCCAGCCAGCACAAACCCAAGCTTTGGGGGTCTGATCTGCCCCGACTCCATGCTAGATCAGCAAACTTTCTGTTGCTGCCATTACAATGGTTATACTCCCTCTGACCACTAGCCTACCATGACCCCTGAGGCTGGGGGGTCTGCACTGGCAAAATTTTAGCCACTTCAGCTGCTGACTGATGGTCCATCTTAGAGCTACTGCCCACTCTCCTCCAAGGGAAGCAGTCCACAGTGGTGGGGAGCGAGGTGGAGGGACAGCTGTGTCTAGCTAGCTAATTCTTGTCTGATTTGTGGTCTGATGAACAGAAAGAGGGTGGAGAAACGTTGTAATGTGTTGTATACATCTTTGTACAGAGCCAGGCTAGCTGCTTTCAATCATAACTGACTGCTGAGGGTAGCTTCATATTTACCATACAAATTTGTGTGTGGCAAAGGCGTACATTTTGTTTCAACATTGGAGTGGGGAAACATAAGAAACAGGGGGATTGGATATCCTCTGCCAGAAAACTCTGAGCATCAAACACTTAGATTTTCTTGCATTCTGGTGAGTTTTGGGGGGTAAACATGTCCCTTGCATCCCCCCTGAAATCTACACCTATGGGGTGTGGTATCAATCTTCTCATTTAACTCCGCAAGATGGCAAATGTGTATTTCAGAAATTTCAAAATTGGAATACTTAAAGCTGCTGTCAGTGCTTTTGTGAGGAGATAAATTAAATATCAAGAAATTCCACACAAAACAATTGATTGAAAGAAAATACTCTTTGGATTAATACCTCCAAAAGTTACCGACTGCAGCTTTAGCTAAAAGTAAATGTCTTCATGTACTCACCATAAACATCGAGCCACACTGACTGCGTGCTGACCCCCTTTTCATTCTGAGCTTCACACAGGTAGCTCCCCGCGTCTTCAGGCCTGACCGCTGCAATGTGCAACGTGGCACTGCGCACATGAGTGAAGTGCTCCGTCAGGATACGCGAAGAACTGTCAACCTTTGCTGGTTGCTGTGGATACCAGACGGCACCCTGTCAACGCCCAGAGATCTCTAGAGATTAACCCCGTCTGCGTGTCTATCCTCGCCAAGCACACAAATACTGACACAGACACACAACTATCTGCATGCACACACACAGTCACTGACACACAGTAGTCCACATGATGCTTATGCAGCCAAGATCCTGAAGCTTAGACAGTATGAACTTTGACCCCTTTTACTCTCGTTCATTAGAACAACCACTGATACCAACTACAGAGCAAGAAAGCTTGACAGTAGAAAGAAAAGTGATTTAAATAATTTAATTTAAGATAATAAAAACAAATGTTTCATTTCATTTGATTGGTACGATTGTGTACTGGAATGCCATTTTCCACATGATTGTCACTGGGGTTTGTTTTCTTGTTTGGGAAACTTAAAGTCCATGAGTTCTGACAGCTTAATTGGGATAATTTTTCAGTCAATAATCAATGTAGCTGCCACATAGTTATCAGTTGGTGTCATAACATTTCCTTCACACAAAAGAAGACTTATAAAGATGTTTTTACAGTGGATTCAGAAAATAATTGAATCCCCAGGACAGCTCATACATTCAGGGGACTCTTCACAATCTTACAAGACAACAAACAACACTCAGTACAGTTTTTCTATTTGTGTTCCACCAACAACAAAGAAAAAGAAAAGGCAAAATGGTCTCACCGAGCCGGGTGGGGTGACCCAATTTAGAGTGATCTCTCCATTGACGTTAGTGGTGTTGCAGGTGAGGGAGAGACTCTCCTTCCAGGTAAGAATTACTCTTCCGGTTGCCTGCATCTCAATCACGGGAGGAGCATCAGGAACTGAAAGGAAAACAAATGTGATTGAATGTTCAGCGTGTGTGTGTGTGTGTGTGTGTGTGTGTGTGTGTGTGTGTGTCAGGAAGCTTTTAAAGCAACAATGCACATGCATTTATACCACTTTACCTGGTTTTACTGTCAGGTAGTAGTCACGTGATCTAACAAACTTCTCTCCAAGTCTTCCTGTGCACACATAGCAACCCTCGTAGGCCTTTTGTGTGTTGTTGATGATGATGCCTTGCTCCAGGCTTGCAGAGAACCGGAGACCAGAGGCCAAAGCTCCACCGGAACATGTTTCCAGGCGCAGGTTGTCCAGACTTGGATCAGTTGCCAGGCAGGAGATGGAAGCGTTTTCTCCCACACGAGTGAGAATCTTGAACACCATTGATTTTCTGAAGGGATTGTCAGGATCTGCCAAAAAATGGAGGCGTCAGAGCTGTAAGCGGGGCTGCACACTGAGTTGTTGAAGCTTCAGTTTAGTGACAGCTGATATAACAATGCTACTCTGTTTAACATGCCCTATTTTCCCAACACTATTTTGTTTTTTGATCTCTTGCCATAGAATTACTAGGACGCCCTTGCTTCTGTGTAACCGTGTGATTGGCTGGCTGGTCACACATCATCACCTGTTAATGATTATGAACTCAGACATCATTTTTGATACTATTTATAGTATTATTTTTTTCCTGTAACAGCCATTCAATGTATATACATTTACTGGTTAGGTTTTTATAGAGTAGATTTCATTTGTAGTGGCAGGGTCCGCCAGTCCCGTACTGGATCCAAATTGCCTTAAAATGCACAAGGGATTAAAACAGTTGGTTGTGCTGGCGCTTCACTCAGGTGCCATTAAATCATTGCAGAAGAAGAGGGCACAATGAGATGCGGTTCACCTAATGGCCACTTGAGGCTGGCTCTTAATATAACATTAGTTGAAATTTTGATGGGTTTAAAGTTACACATAATGGAGGGCGTGGCAGCTTTGAGCGACAGACTGTCTGCGAGGTGTCACAACAATCTGAGTCAGATCCTTGGGTCACCTCTGGCTCCAAAAATTTGAATGGGGATAAACAAAATGCAAAAGTCAAGGCTTCAAAATAGGAATCCACAAATGAATTGGTGACAGTACGGTGGCTATGTCTATTATTTTTATACAGTCTTATGATCAGAACTCAAATGGTGGAAAACAATATGTAAAACATTATGGAGATCTAGCATTTATGTTTGTTCCGTGCATTATTTTGTTAAGTATTAAGTATAAGTATAAGTATTATGGTCTAGTTAAAGTGGTGTCTTTGACCTGTAGTAGCCCTATGGAGCTGTTTTTCCATGCGTGGTCTGTTTGGTTTGTCACATGCACAACAAGGTCACACATGAAAGCATGTACACATGCTCACACAATCCTTGTAGTGGTTTCACCCTGTTTGACTGATCTACAGGTGGCGGTAACATGACAAGAAGGATAGCAACGAATACAGTGACAAAGGTAACTAGTTAACATTTGTTTTCGTAACGTACATTTGCATAAAAACAGATGGATGAAAATGCACTCACTGCCTCACTGTTTAGCTGTTTACTCTCTTCAAACTGGATCAGAACTGTATGAAGTTACAACCAATGCAAACTGGACACGGAATGACTGTTATTGTGAAGCAATCCCAAGAAACACTTTGTAACTGTGCTTAGCATGATCATTCATCTAAATGTGTCCACAAAAGAAAACAGCTACCATAAAACTTTAATAGCTCAGGCTATTATTTGCTTTAATCACTGAAATCAACAGGCCTATTTTTGGGACAGGCCTTTAATTCCTTTCACTCAAAAGCTCAGCAAAGATCAAGAACTACAATCAAATTGTTTATTGAAACCAGTATGAATATTACTTGTTTAAAAATGTAGCTTCAGATTATATATCAATTATGAATCATTCATTTGATCTAGCTCTGACAGACAGAGCATCAGAGAGACAAAGAGTTAAGCACTCGAGGATTACAGCACCCAGCACACGGACACAACATCACTTTATCCTGTTAAAACAACACTCACAACTTGGATTAATTTTTTATGAAAAACCCTTTTGATTCTTTTGATTTGAGGAGCCTTACGGACTTAAGGAATATGAATAACTTACAGAGTAATCGAGTAATGGACACATCATTTGAGAAAGCCAACAACTGCTTTTATACATCCGAAGAACTTCTATTAAATAAATGAACTGTTTGGCAACCAGACCAGGCGTCTATTTAAGACAGGAGTTTATTAGTCAAAATATTTAGCCACACCGGGCTAGTAAAAGAGACTGCGCGTTCAATTGGGGCTCGGCTTTTAATTGAAGTTTTACGGTAATTTAACAAAACAATGTGAGTTTGTTTAAAACACCACATTTTTGGTTGGCTGCACTGTAACACAGATACACCAGCTGCTCCTCTGTTGTATTGTTGACATGTTTGCCTCCCCCCCTAAAATTCTGGGACCTATCAAACTGCAGTTGTTGTTACCATGGTAACCGCGGGTGTCACCACATCAACCAGAATTGAAATTGTAAGGACGACAACTTTAAATCTAGTTATTCTACTGGTTTTTAGTTTTTCAAATTTTGTACAACGACCAGACACAAAGACTGATCTGCCCAAGTGATCACACAGCTGCGATTATCTCAACAGAAAATTGAGTTGTCTCATGATATTAATCAAATTCAAATATCTTTTCATGAAGCGATATCTGAGTGTAAATCTAAAAAGTAGTTACTGCTTGTTGTCTTAACAGTGGACATGGTGATTGTGTACTGAATGATCAGCACATGATACCAGGCAGCCTGCAGTGATGGAACTGGGCCAAGGGGATGTGGAGTCACACAGAGGAGGAAATACAGTAAAACTCAGTCATGCACTCAGTAAATAGTTACAGTATCTACTGTACCTGTCCGGGGCAAAGTTACAAACACCTTTCTCTGTGAGCACACCCACACACACTGCTCCCTGTCACTACAGTGAGAAATGCCAAAATACTTCTTTCTGCTGTAATCTGCTGCTCTGTATTTCAGCTCTGTCTCACGCACACACATAACCAAAAGCACATTGACAGTTGCATCCATTTACCTTTCACATATACGTAGATGGAGGTTTGCTCCTTGGAGCTCTCCTCCAGGCAGATGTAGCGGCCCATGTGAAGAGGTTGAGCCCTGGGGATGCGCAGTATGGACATCCCAGGGGTCTTTTTCTCTCCCCGCACCTTCGGCCGGTCCTCCCGCTGCCACTGCATCTCCTTCTCGCCCTGGCAACGCAGCTCGAAGGGTGTGTTGAGCGGGACAACAAGGTGGGGCCCGGCGGGGGTAATGGTGGGCTTGGTGTTGCCTACAGAAAGGGAAATCAGCTGCATGTCAAACATACTAAAATCAGGATGAGCCAATTTGTGTTATTTGTATGATACAAAATACTTTTTTAACCACACTTTGGAGGGAAAACATCATGACATCATCGCATAATTGTTGCCATGTTGCAGATATTTGTCTTCACTCAGAGGAAGAGAGAGATAATTACTTGATAACCCTCAAAGTTGAGTTATGAGCGGAATCATTTTCCCACCACTGTGAAGTCATTGTGTGTCACCATGTTCAACCCCACAAGATTCACATGCATGAGACAAGCTTAAAGGTACAGCTCCTGATCCAAAGGTAAACTACAGGATCGCTCCACCTCCAGACTCGAAACAAAAGACAGGATTTATACTGGCTCTCATTTCCAAATTGATTGAGAGGATTTTTTGTTCAACAGCTTAACAACCTGACAACACCTACATACTGTGCAAGTAAAAACTGTAATCTTAAAGCAGTGGTTCCCGACCAGTAATGTCTCGTGACATCTTAAAACAAAGCATGGTCCGCTTGTGACCCCTCTTTACGAGGCTTGTGCTGCAGAGGTAACAAAACTATGATTATTATGATCATTTAGAGAACACAAACACTCTTATTTTTCATCTGCAACTCCAACTGCAACAATATGAGTGACGAGACTTGCACATCTAATTCTGACTAGCATCATAATGCAGGTAAAGAGGCTTGATGGGGATTGAACCCTCAGCCTCTTGACATCTGAGCAGATCTCTATAATCACAGGGCCGAGGAAACCAAATGATGTTATAAACAAGCAAAATTCTTTAATCAACCTTTTACCGTCATGCTTTACAGAGGCAGCTCTACCCAATAGCTGTTGCTTGGGGCCCCCTGACCTCTGAGGGCCCCCTAGAATTTTTTTTTTAATGAATACGAGACAATAATGATAAAAAAGTTTGACTCCCTGAACAAAAATTGACAACTGACAAAACAATAAGCTCAGAGATGGGGGAAATATATAGTTAAAGTGGGCTAAGTCAGCTATTTACTGTTCCTGTAAAACAAGCTCCAACAATTCTGTGGTTAAACAAAGATATCATGTTTTGTGGTTGTTAGTTATGATAAGGTAAACAAAATTAATGAACAGGACAAGAACGAAAGCCAACACAAACTCGGATCTCCACAAGCCATTCTCGCAGCCGATGATTTACTGTAAGTTAAATAAATTACAATTGGAGGTCAGTTTAAAAGAGTGGTATAATTCTTCATTAGTTCCTCCTACGTAGTGACAAGTACAAGCACGATGTACCTTAAACCCTGGTATATGAAAGGTCACGGTAATAATAATCAATTTAAGACAAACTGGACTAAACTACTTGCGTATAGCTTTCCAAACTTGTGCTCCAAACTAATGCTGACTTACGTTTTTGGTTCCTAATAAAATCCCTGTCACTGGAAACTTATGTTAACATTTTATTCAAACAGTGCTCCTTTTGTCTTTCTTTCTCATTTCAGCACTGTGGCAGACTTTGCACAGTATTATTAGTCATCTTAAAAAATGTATCTGCTTCCTTGTGCATTATGTCTTTTTAGTCGTATCATCCTTTTCATTCGGGCATCTTACACATGAAGACGGGTGAGGTTCAGCCCATTATACCGACACTATAACATTAAAACATGCATCAGACTTTAACCAGATCGAGCAAAAGGCGCTGAGAATGACCATTTATAGGTTTAGGGTGTAAAAGACAAATAGTGTGTTTACTGTAGTCTGTTTGCTGCTGATGCAGCCGGTCCCATTTTAGTCTTTACATGTTGTATTTGCTTAAACTAATATTTTTATTTACCATACACACGTCGGTTCACTGTCATGTGAAGTGGCAACACCTTACAATAAGCCCCCCCCCCCAATCAAATTCTGCCTCAGGCCCCCAAAAGTCTAGGTCTGGTCCTGCTGTGGTGTAAAATAAAACAAATGTCTGTAGCATTAGGATGGGTACTGTGGAGTGCTTTCAGAGCCAAAGATTCAATCCACTGGGTCAAGTGAAAACAGGTGGGGGCAGTGAAGAATGAGTAATGTTTGTTCCCACTGCATCTTTTTCTATTGAAGCCACCTGTGGCAAACTGTCAGCAGCTTCCTCTGGTGAGACTGCAGCAGCAGCGGTGTGAAACAAGGTGCTGCTGACTAAGACGCTCCCACTATCTTCCCATCTCTCCTTTGATTAAATAAAGAAATAAACACGTCTGAAACAGTTACTCTGCCATTCCCATAGCCTTCACTTCAACAGACGAGCCATGAAACGTGAAAGGGTGTGGCGATGGTGGCGATGGTGGTGGTGGTAGTGGTAGTGGCATGATAGAAACGCATGAATACATAGAATCACAGGACAGCAAACAGGATTGTATCATTGTGCAGAAACTGGTCTGTTTGTAGACTGTTGCTTCCAATGGCTCCTGTGTTTGCAGAGCTTCTGCACCTATGCGTAAATATTTGACAACTGCGGAATAGAGGTGAAGGCATAAAGGTTTGGTTATCAACAGAAGGGAAGAGATAAAAAAAAGTAGGATCTACAAGTTCTTTGTTTTATTTTTAGAATTTAAACATATATTTGGTTATTGATGAAATGACCACAGAGCGCAAGAAAACGCGCTAAAAGTTAATTGGGTCTGTCGCCTGCGTAAACGGGCTCAAGGCAAACTTCATGGCGTGCACTATTGCATCACATGACAGGCGAGCCTGTGCACACTGCCTGGAGATGTGGCAGTCATTCAAATACCCAGATGACATCGACACGGCGTGAACATCAACGGTCTCCCATGAGCGCATCTTATAGCCTACTCTCAAGCTGTCGATCAGATGGATACATACGGGCAGAAAACAGAGCCCACCTGATGCCGCTCTGAGCTGCGGGAGGCTCGCAGACGCACCGAGGGCGCAAAAGAGCGCAACGGCAACACTCCACTTCACTTCACAGCTTGTTTCGACAAAGGATGGCTTGTGTACGACTTCAGCTTCCCATAAATGTGCGAGCCAAGTCTAAAGAGTTCCCAAATTCAGCACTACAAGCAACATTTAAAAAAAGTTGACTTGAATTTGATCCATGTAGAGCAGACTAACAACTGTTAAATTAAACCCTCAAATAAAAACAACAGAACGAGACCTGGTAAGGGTATTAAAATGCCATAAAAGCCCAATTACTGGTTTATGGACCGTGACCTCTGAATCCAGATCTTGAAGATGAAGCCAGGCCGTAATAGTTACAGTATGTTTTGAAAAGCACCACAAAAAATGTTCAAGAACTGCTCTGTTAAAGTCACACATGTAACAATGTTTATACAAAAGGTGTTAAATTATATAAGCATGCAAACCAGCTCTGGGCATAGGCTACCAGTTACTAGTTTGCATCGCTTCCTAGGAATTAGGAGTTGCCAATATATTTCCATAATGACGGTTACGCGCGAGGAGGAAAACCGCATGAACCTGTCGCGTTCATCGAGTACAACACGATCAGAAAGTCTCTCTGCATCGCGCTCATGCACAGTATATTATTCTGCATCCTACTTCATCTCTACTGTTTGATTACTTCTTTGTTAATGGCGCTCTGGTGTCTGAATAAAACATGAATTATTAAAGTAGCGCGCTGGCATCCAGATCATCAGCCAAAGTATCCACTTTCCTCATCGGGTTTCAGTGACTTCGGGTTGTCTTATCAGCAGCCTTCAGATCTCGTTGCACCGCTTTCCCAGAACAAAGAAAAGTGTGGAGAAACGCATCATGAAGACGATGCGGAACAAGTGGAGCAATTCACTTCACTATAGTGTGGATTATCTTTGTCTAGCTGGGCTAAAGGGAGATGAATACCTGTAGTCGACCCCGTGGTGCTCAACAAAGGCAACAAGTTGCGTGCGTAAAGTGGCGCATCAAGTGCAAAAGCTGAGTCTTACCTGGATGAAAGGTTAACTGTAGAAAGACAGACAGCAGTATCCAGTGGTATTCCATAGTGATTATTCCATGGGTCTAGCTGTGAAGGTGAGCCAGTGCCTCTCTGGTTAAGGTGTCTCTACTCTACTCGCTGAGCGCGTCGGAGTTGTGGGAAGTTGACTGTGATAGAGGCGCACTTACAAGTCTTTAAAGGCACAGATGCTCGCTCGCAACAGCAGCAGTCGTCGCCTATCTGCAAACATGCTGTTCTCCTGGAGCGCGCCAGAGGGGACGATACAGGCCGACCAGGTATCTCTGACTGACTGTGGCGTCAACAACATGTTTATAGGAGCCGGTGGTGGAGCCTATTACTGACACGCTACACACGGAGAGGGAGGCGTTTGGGACCTGTTGTCTACTTCCCGACAAAGAAAGAGAAAAGAGCGAGCAGAGGCAGACTGACAGATCAAGACAAAGACACATGCATCCAGTTTTTATGTCTTTTTAATTTATTATGGTATATCATTTAACTTTTTCCTCCTTTAATCAAAAACAAACCTTTTACAGCCAACACCGAGAACATACATTTCAGCTCTGGGGATGATTGGCCTACAGCAACGTTTCTCCAGTATTTTTTATTTGATTTTATATGATTCATTAATATTTATGTCATCTCACAACAGATAAGCCATTGTGGCTAAAATCCTAAATTAAGACAAGAAAACCACATAAGACCCTCTGTTTTGCCGCCTCATGATACCACACATGACACTTTTTGAACACTGGTACACACACACACACACATACACACACACCCTTTCAGAGTTGGCCTATTTTAACATTGGCTATGAAACACCCACTGTTTTTTATGATGCATGTTAACAAAGTTATTGCCTTTTTTTAAATTGAAAACAGCCTTTCGTAATGAACTAAACCACCCGCTTCAAGTTTGCATCAAATACTGTATCCAATTTGAGTGACGTTTTAGGGGAAAGCAGAGGGGGAAAGTCAGGATAAACTGAAATGCTTTGTCTCTGTTTTTCCTGTGATGTGATGTTTAACCATTTTATTAAGATTTCTGCACGTACACTGTCGACTGTTGGTGCATTATAAGGGGTTTGTTGCATGGAATTTCCACACTTCTCTGATGGGAGCGCTATAAGGGCTTTTTAAAAATCTTCTCCAGCGATTATTCTTGCACATCCATAAATTGGGAGATTTTTTTTTTTATTAGATTTATTTATTCATACAGACAACGCACATTTATCAACATTTGTGTAAATGTGCCAGTGTTAGCCAGCTGGCTATTTTTCAACTGCAGTCCTTTGGCAAGATGTTTTGAAACCAATAAAAGGATAAAAAAAAAATCACAGGACAAAAATGCCATAAAGACAACACTAACTACAGCAATTAGAAATTGTCATGATAGAACAGAAGCCATGCAAAGCAACTAGCAACAGCAGAGCACCAGTACAATACAATAACACAACAACAGCAAACAGCATGTTAGCACAGACATGCAAGCAACACAAAGCACCAACACACAGATTAGCATTACATTCAGACATGCAGAGCAGAAATAGAAAGTAAAAGCACACAAAACAGCTATGAGTAACTGATAAGAAAAGAATGATCTAGTATATCTGTAGAAGCAGAGATATACTGACTTTGCAACACATTCTCACTCCGACCTCATCTTGGATTTTCCACGTCTACACATGACCAAGGAGCCCAGGTGCTGCTGTTGATGTTCTGGGACACCATGTCAACTTCAGCCTGTTATATTGATTCTGTTTTTCAAAATACACCTCTGTTTTCACAGGAAATCTACAGTTTGCACACAGCCTCTGTCCAAATAAACATACTATGTCGGTACAACACCTCAAATAAATGTTTTTTCCTTCAACAATGAAAGCACATAGGGGTGTGGCTTATATACATATACATATTCATGTGGGAAGTGTACACCGGTCTCCCAGGTAAAAGTTAATGGTTGTTGTACCCATCCGACACCCCTCTCTCCTGTCCTACTCAGACTTTCTTTCTCTTAACTTACATTCTTGTCCAGCTGCGGTGACCCCTGATGCCATTAAGCGCCATCGCTGCATCTCATGCTGATGTGAAAGGACGGCTTTTTTCTTTATCTGACACAGGAGTCACTGCCTGAAATGCAAGTATTCGACAACTTCAGAATGAGACAGGGTTAGACTTTTAGTCCACACTGTAGGGCCCAAGATCCAGAAACACTGGATCCTACATTTCCCATGATGCACCTTAATGGCATCTTTCATGTAGGTGTTATTGCTCGTAAATACCCTTGTCTTTGAAACTCCACCCTCACAGTTTATAACCAGTTTTTGCACAGGTTTTCTGTTTCTATTTTTAGTCTCAAGAGTATCTAAAGATGACCCATGATGACATCATCATTTTATTTTCTCAGACTTTAGAGACGTGACACAGTTGTTTTTAACTCTCCATGAGGAGTTCACTGACCTTATGTGTAAAACTGGTGAAGTTCCTCTTCAAACGCCATGTAGTCCAAATGCTAAAAAGCTTGGTTGCCTGCACATATCCAGTTCACTCTTTATGAGTTGTAATAAAAACTTAGAAATTCTGCCTCTATTTATTTATTCTATCTATTTTCTTTATTTGCATAATCTGACTTAGACTCTTATATTGGTATACACAGGCAGACTCTCCTTTAAGGCACAGTTCACCCCACAATCAAAAATACAAATGTTTTCTCTTACCTTTAGTGCTATTTGTCAATCTCGACCATTTTGGTGCAAGCTGCCTAATGTTGGCGATATTGGCCGTAGATATGACTGCCTTCTCTCAAATTTAATGGAACTAGAAGGCACTTGGTCTTCTCTTTACAGAAATCATGACCCAGTTAGTCAAGATAAACCACAGACCTTGCTTTGAGCAGTTTCACCATGCAGAAGGAAGTGTGCATCTCATGGACAAGAAGCTGAGGCCTCGGCTGAGCTGTAATGTTAGTCAGGTCAGTGGTGCCAGGTGAGCTAGCAGTAGATGCATGCTTCCTTTTGCATGGTGATACAGTTGGCAGGTGTAATTCAGTAGGAAGAAAATAGTTCCTACATGAATCTGCTCAGAACAAGGTTTGGGGATGGCCTGAATTCTAGAAAGAGACATTGCTGTTGAGTTTTACAAACGTATGTTTTTGGCAGTTTAAGAATCTAGATTGACAAACAGCACTTCAGGTAAGAGGAAAAAAACTCTATTTTTGATGTCGGGGTGAACTGTCCCTTTAACATACAATGTTTGGATGCACATGCAAATAATTTGGGCTGTGGGTGTGGCCTAAACCAGCCCCAAATCCAAACATCCACAACCAAAACACCTTGTGTGAGCAATATGATACTTAGTCTACTTGTTTTACAAATGACAACAAACAATTCTGCGGTGGCATTTTTGACCCGAGGCCATGACTGTCACCATTAACCCATTTAAACAAACGACATGAAATTTGAGACACGTGCTTAGACAGAAGGTAATCAATCATAATTTAAAAACTGTGGCTGAAGTGACACGTGGCGGATGCATAGAACTTCACGTGTCGCATTTGGCAAAAAATCTTATCTAGATTCTTCTTCTTTTTCTGGTCTGTAAATACTCATTACCTCCTCACATGGTTTGTGTGCTTTTTGTCATGAGCGCTATAGGTACTTGAAGCACAGAAGTGCTGCAGGCTGCTGTATCAATATATTTATTTAACACAAGACTCCTGCCACCTGACAGGGATCTGCAGAGGAGAGTTTGAAGCTCCTGTTCTCATTCTGTGTGCTGGGTTTTCTTTACAACCACACAATTTTGTACTCATAAGCAGTTTTTGTGTGGGAAAAAAACATGCTTGTTGGTAAAAATGTCTCAACATCATTAAAGGTATGAAGCATAAATTCATTCTTTCTGTCATTTAATATCCTCTAGAATGATTTCTCATAACGTGAGCACCACAGACCACTCTTAAAGGCCCTAATGGCTTACACACTGAAACCAAATCTCTAATTTTACTTCCTCGAAGCATTAACTCCTGTAAAAGACCCATCAATTATCACACATTGATTTTTCCATTCACATAAATGTCTGTTAGGATAACAGACAATGATTTTTGATCAACATGTAAAACCACCTTGAACAACAGCTTGTTGTCAAATCGACCAATGACGGCATTTTGTGTTTCCGGAAGCACAGATATTGAATGGGAAAATTATATCTATTCATTCACAGGTTGCTTTCAGTGGCATAGCCCAAACATACATGAGAATGAGTTGCTTCCTGCAGGCCACAGAAGTGGGATTCATGTGTGAAGCAATGTAAAGCTCAGAAACTTCAATTCTTCAATTTTCTTGTTTACAGAATAAAGTAAGGATACACAGGTTAGAGACAGAAGGAAAAAGACGTAGTCGACTATGTTATACATTTGTAAAATAGTACGTGTTCTGTAAGACTCTTATCATAGAAAATGCACAAAAACAAAGCTGTATTTTATTTCCTTTTTAACCAGAGCATTACATCTACTCTCACAAACATGCTGTTATGTGAGATGAAAGAAAGTTGTGTCTATGCTCAGAGAGGAGGCACCAGCCTCATCTCTGAGCCTTCAAAACAAATGTCTCTGTCCAAAACATTTCCTGATGTGTTGGTTGAAGTCAGTAGGGAAAGGCACTGGGTTACTGGGAGAGGGAAGTGGGAACATGATATTATCTTCATGCTAAATAATGTTTGTTTAAGTCTGTACACGCCCATTTATGAGTAACGGATTCTGAGTCCACAGTTACAGTTAGTTTTGGTAAAATAGTCATACCAACTTTGTTTCAACTGCTTCCCTGGGAGTTACAAGCAGGCGCATGCGGGCATATGCTCATCTAAATAAGCAAACTGTGAAGATGCATAGATGGAGGGGTGATGCATTGTAGAAAGGCTTGTTTAGGGAACTGAGGCTTGTTACAACTTGTGCAGGTGATTTAACAACTCCTTAGGAGCCTTCAATTCCAGAGAAGCTGACATCCCAGCAAGTCTGTGGTATGTCACCTAAAAAGAAAATGGATGTAGAAAATAATGAATAAATGAAATAGAATGCTACCACTAATGATTGAGATATAATGAAAATCATTAAATTAATGAAAATGGTTCATAAAAATAAAAATAACCTTTTTTCCCCACTTTGTTTTTGCTATTTTAAGTTTCCATTTTTATGTGATATGTGTGTATATGAAGACATGTGGCCAGCAGGTCTGTCAAAGTGAAAACATATTGCACGTTTCTGCAAACCACTGATGCTTTACATTTACACATGATTATGTTGCAATGCATTGAGACAATGCTT